GTTTGGTGACAGGTTAGTAGAACGAAAGGATGGTCAGTTGAAATTTTTTTATAGAAAATTTATATTGTTATGTTGTTATATATTTAAGAGTCATTTCTACTCTTTTTTTCCTTTGCATTATGAAATAATGAGTTGCATTTGTATAGACATTTCGATCGGGTGTTACTAGTGAAATAGCCCTTCTAGTCATATATTTTTGTTACTCCGCCAAATTTCATAAAGTATTCGATCCAATTTAATAATAGTTCCCCAAAATTTAGAAAATTATTTTCTAATTGAAACCCATACATATTTTTGGAGGTCTTGTTGTTGCTGATTTAATTTTTCTGAAAATATACATATAACATATCCATATTTTTTTCACCACGACGTGCATTTTAATTTGTGTCACAACTAGTACTTGACCTACTCTTATTTTGTCTAGATATAATCCAAGTAAGATCAAGTACTTTGAAAATCATCTTTACCGAAATAAATATGATTATAGACTATATATAGGTGAAAATAGATTTTTATATATAATAAAATCATGAATATCTTTGGTGAAATTTTTTACTTCGCCACTATAGATCAGCTGTGAGGATCGTGAGAATTGTAAAGGAGAGCTTTGAACTAGGGTTGTCAAATGTGAGATGGTTCGTAATGGGAGATGACGATACAGTACTTTTTACGGAGAATTTAGTGACGGTTTTGAGTAAATACGATCGCAACCAAATGTGTTATATTGGTCGGAATTCCGAAAGTGTGGAGGCAAATGTGATGTGTTCCTATAATATGACATATGGTGGCGGCGGCACCGCTATTAGTTATCCACTCGTGATGGAGCTCGTTAAGATTTTAGACGATTGCATTAATCGTTACCATTACGTGTTCGGTTCTGATTTGATGATATCTAATTGTATGGCTGAGATTGGTGTTCCTCTTACAAAAGAACTTGGTTTCCATCAGGTACATACATACCCCCACAACTTTTGAATATTATTTAGGGAAAAAAGGACAATATACCCTGAACTATCGTAAATGGTATGCAGATACCCTCCGTCATACTTTTGGGATATTGGTGCCCCTGCCGTCAAAAAACTAGAGCATATATGCCCTTCACTCTAACGAAAGACTAAATAGGGACACGTGGCACAATCTTATCCGTCGATCCGATATTTAATAAATGTCGGGTCGGTGGATATGAAAGATGAAAAAATGAAGATGATTTGGGGAATTTTCTCTGTGTCTATTGATCAATAATTACAAAGCTTTATACAAGAAATAAGGACTAATCTGCAAATAGTAAAAGACTACAAGATAATTTCCTAAACTATGTAACTAATTGCAACTAATATCTGTACAGCTCATCTATTCTAGAAGGTGTTTTATTTCGTGTATTTGTTGTGTCACTATTGGGCTGAATGTACACTGTATATACTTTATTTTGAGCCCAATTACATTAAGCCCTTAATGAAGGATAAAACTTCAGCCCAGGTCAGACTTCAAAATTTCTCCGACAAAATCATCCTTGATCTAGAAGCATCAAGTCTTGTCTCTCTTGTCTCAATCATTTCATATTCTCCCTTCTTCTGTGTGTCAATGGAGGAAGAGGAAATCTTCTCTCCAACATCCCCCCTCAAGTTGGAGGGGATGGAAATCACACCCAACTTGTCCAAGAGGCGTTGATGAGAACCCCCATTTAGAGGCTTGGTGAACAGATCTGCGAGCTGACCTTCCGATGGAACAAATGAGAGAGAAATAAGGCCTGATAAGAACTGTTGGCGAACAAAGTGGCAGTCCAAATCCACGTGTTTCGTACGCTCATGAAACACCGGATTGCGAGCAATATGGATGGCGGCCTTGCTATCAAAGTGAACTGGAACAGGAAGGTCCGGTGGAACAGAAAGATCCTCAAGGAGGCGTACCAGCTAGGTAAGTTCAGCAGTGACCTGTCTCATGGACATATACTCTGCCTCAGCAGATGAAAGTGAAACAGAGGCTTGTTTTTTGGATTTCCAAGAAATTGGAGCTCCACCTAGAGTGATGAAGAAACCACTAACAGATCTCCGTGTGTCTTTGCAGGAAGCCCAATCGGCATCACAAAAAGCAAGCAAATCGAAGGAAAGATATGAAGACAAGAGAATGCCTTGACCAGGATCTGACTTGAGATAACGCAACACACGCAGGGCAGCTGAAAAATGAGACACAGTGGGTAGCTGGATATATTGGTTGAGACAGAGAACCGTGAAAGAGAGATCAGGACGGGTATGAGTAAGGTAATTCAACTTCCCTACTAATGTTCTGTAAAGAGTAGGGTTCTCCATCAATGGCCCATCATCATGCTGTAGCGTAGAGTAAGGGTCAAGAGGAGAAGAAACAAGAGAACCAGAAGACTCAAACTCCCCTAAAAGATCCTGAGTGAATTTGCGTTGACTCAAAATGAACCTCTGTCTCTCTCTGATGACTTCGATACCCAAAAAATAGTGAATGTCCCCCAAGTTCTTAACTCGAAACTCAGAGTTGAGAAAATCAGTGATAGAAGCAATCTCAGATGTGTCATTGCATGTTAGCAGTATGTCATCCACATACACAACCAATATGGATATAAGAGCACTAGTTGTCTTGAAAAATAAAGAATAGTCATTGAGAGAACTAGAATACCCTTTATATGCCAAAGAACCAGTAAGTTGGGCATACCACTGTCGGGAAGCCTGTTTTAACCCATAAAGAGACTTCCTTAAGAGACAAACATGATTAGGAGAAGGTGGGGGAAAACCTGGAGGAAACATCATGTACACTTCTTCTTGTAGTTCGCCATGTAAAAATGCATTATTTACATCAAGTTGGGACACTCTCCAACCCTTCTTGATGGCAATAGTGAACAAACATCTGATTGTAGTGATCTTTACCACAGGTGAAAAGGTCTCACTAAAATCAATGCCTTCCTTTTGAATGTCCCCCCTTATCACCAATCTAGCTTTTAGCCTTTCAATAGAACCATCTGAGTTATGCTTGACTTTATAAACCCATTTACATGGCAAAGGTCTCTTACCTGGTGGTAGTTCCACAACCTCTCAGGTACCATTTAAGTGAAGAGCTGCAAGTTCTGTTTCCATTGCCTTGTGCCATCCAGAATGTTTACATGCTTCATCAAAGCTCTTAGGCTCTGTGATAAAGGACAGAGAGTGTATGATGTTTTGATTTGGCACAGACAAAGCAGTAAAAGAAAAAATATTAGGACTGGAAGAATGAACAAAACAAGAGTTAGTGACATCAGTGAGTAAAATGGAGTTGCAAACAAAGTCCTTTAGGTAGGAAGGTTGATGACTTAATTTGGCTGACCTTCTAGGAGGGGTAGGAATGGTGGGCGACACAAGAGTGATAGGAGTGGTTGACAATAGAACAGGAGGCTCTGGAGATGATGTCCATGTACCCCTGCAAAAATCATCTACAATGGTTAAAAAACAGTTATAAACATCATGAGTGGAAGTTTTGAAAGGTCCCCATGTGTCAATATGTATCAGCTCAAATATCCTTTTAGATTTAATGCTACTGACAGGAAAGGGCAACCTGCTTTGTCTAGCTTTAGGACAAACAGGACAAATGTAAAGAGAAACAAAAGGGAATGAAATGAAATCAAGATTTTTCATTGCTGAAAAAGGTAAATGTCCCAGTCTTACATGCCATAGAGCTATATCAGAAACAACATTGGCACAAATAGGAACTGAAACAGACCTAAGATTAGAACTAGAAACTGAAACAGATACATTACTGGAAATATTTCCTTTTGGAATTGAAACTAAATCACTAGAGACAACTTTGGAATTTCTTCCTTTTTGAAAAAAAACATCTTCTTTAAGAGACTCTGATTGCATCCTAGATACCTTGAGTAGATAAAGACCATCTCCTACTTCACCAAAAACTTGTTCCTTCCTCATTAAATGGTATTGTAATACACAAGCACTAGGAGTGAATAAAACATTACAATTGAGATGATTGGCTAACTTATGAACTGATAATAAGTTATATTTGAAATTCGAGACATATAAGACATTGTGGAGAGTGAGATTAGGCAATATACTTATGCTTCCTATATGTGTCACAATGACCTTAAAAGAGTTAGGTAAAGTGAGATGCAAAGGCATAGATAGAGGAAGCAAAGAAATAAAAGATTTAGAATCAAAACACATGTGCTCAGATGCTCCTGAGTCAATAATCCAAGTCCCAGAATTATAGCCTGTAAAACATGATTCCGAGTATTTTAGAATTGTACCGACAACTGCATTTGCAATGATTATTGTACCGGCAACCGAGTATTCCGAGTGTTTCGATTTATTGGGATGGCGAAATTATACATGACGAAAATACCGTTTATTATAATTGTCCTCCCAAACACAATGCTAAATATTCAATTAATGTCCGATATCATAAATTTCTTTCATCAATTTATAAAAGAATGGGTATAAACAGTACTGGTTATAATTTGATTATAGTCGAAAAATACCCTACTTCATTTTTATCACAAGGACAAGTAAATTTTGGAGAGTGGATTATCTATAATGACGAATCGTTGACCGACTTTTTGAGGGTTCCAAATGACTACATAGATCAAATCAAGTTAACAATACTTGAAATCTATGTTAGGAAGGAGCCTAAGACTAGTCAACAACGTTCTCCTTTATCGGTCGATGTCCATCCCCGATTAGAAAATCGTAATAGCGTTGATGGATTTTCGATAACTCAATCTACTGATTTTTCTAACATGACTCATTATCAAAATATTCTTACCGGTCGATATGATGTTTGATTTGAACGAAACTATCAAATGAAAGTGACTGGTAATGCTCAATAATTATATTTCGATTATTATTTGTTGATTTTGTCAATTATTTTATTAATTTATATGATTTATTATTCTTCTTATTATTATATATTTTGTAGCGGTTAACCTCAACAAGATATGAATATTTCTCCAAGTTATGGACTAGATAATTATTTTGGTCAGTCCTAACACTTTGAAATGACGGAAAATGTTGGGACATCCTCAAATTTTCATGTCTCGCCTACTTTTGATGCAGATGATTGTCGGTATGTCCAACACTTGATTTTTTATTTAAGTAAGTTAATTGCATGAGACAAATATTTATACTTTTTTACATATATAGGGAAAATATCACACAAGATGAGCCCATTGATCCTGTGAATATCGATGATCGTGACCTTCCAAATTACGGCTCACCTTCAACTAGTGATAGTGATGATTTGTCTAATGCCGAGGAATCAGGAGATAATGTTCCATTTAAGGCATCATCTAGTGATGATGATTTTTTAATGCCCAATCGATCGCCAAGACCAATGTCCATGAGTCCGTTTCGTAATCATGAAATTCCTTATCTGGATCATCTCCAAGATGGTCCAGATATCTTTGGCGATACACATGATGAATAAACATCACAACGTACGTGGGGTGAACCGGAAGATTTCATGAATGGTGCTATTTATATTGAAAAAGGCATGTTATTCAATTCAAAGAAGCAGTTGCAAAGAGCAGTTAAGCTTCTACATTTAAAGATAGCGAGGGAGTACTTTGTTATTAAATCGACAAAGAAATCATGGCGACTTGTTTGCAGGCGTGTAGAACAAGGATGTCGATTTAGGCTAACTTCTTTTAATGATAAACATACTAACATGTGGAAAGTTGGAAGATACATTAAAGAACATACATGTGATATGGGTACGTGCCGTGATGGACATTTCAACTTGGATGTTGAGATGATTGCTAACGTCCTCCGTGTTGATATAGAGAAAACGCCAAGGTACTATTTTATCCTTAGATGATTTTTCTTTAATAAGAAAATATTCATTTTTTATTTGATAATTAATATTATTTTTACTTTCGAGGTTTTCCATCAAAGACTGTCAAACGGCCGTTCTTAAAGCATATGGCATTTCGATAAGCAGAAGAAAAGTCTATCTTGGTCGCAAGCGTGCTTTTGAAAAAGTCTATAGTACTTGGGAGGGTTATTTTGCCGGGTTGCCGAGGTTCATGGAAGCTTTGAAACACTTCGATCCTGGAACAATAGTTGAATGGAAAACAGAGCGGCGTGTCGATGTCATTGAAGATGTATTCAACTATGTATTCTGGACTTTTAAATCATGCATTGATGGATTTGTGTTTTGTCGACCTGTTATATCGATCGACGGAACACGTGTCTATGGAAAAATATGATATCAAGTTGTTGATTGCGATTGCAATGGATGGTAACGGCTCAATATTACCTTTGGCATTTGCAATAGTTGCGAATGAGAGCATGGAGACATGGAGTTTATTTTTGGATCATTTGCACTTGCACGTTGTCAAGGGTCGTAGAAGTGTGGCATTGATTTCAGATAGGCATCACAGAATACTCTCATCCATGTATAATTCTCCCAATTGGCAGGCCCCATTTGGGTTCCATCGTTTTTGTTTTTGACATTTGAAGGTGAATTTTCAAAAAAAATTAAAAAATGTCACTTTAAACAACCTTTTATGGGCAGCTGCAAATCACTGTCAGGAGAAAAAAAAATTTGGAAAAAATGGAGATGATCAAGGAGATTAATCCGGAAGCATACGTGTGGTTAATGAAGAACGGTCTTGACAAATGGACATTGCACAGGGATGGAGGTAGGAGATGGGGCATGCTGACAACAAACAGTTCCGAGTCATTCAATAGTCTTCTTAAGTCAGCCAGGAGCCTGCCAGTTACTGCAATGGTAAGACTCACTTACAATCAGATTGTGAACCGATTTGTTACAAGATCAAAATTTGTCAATCAGCTAGTACAACAAAAGCAACAATGGATGCCTAAACCATTCAAGATTTTTGAGGATAATCGAAAAAAGTCACAGCGTCACACACTTATCAACTATCACCAACAAAGGGAAAACATATTTGAGGTGCAGACACATACGCATCATGGTTGTGGTGGTAATAAGCACATTGTAAATGCATCACAAGGAAAATGTCAATGTGGTAAATGGCAATCATACCACATTCCGTGTTCTCATGCAATAAAGGGATTTGACCAAATTGGGTATCAAGCATGGGAGCATATGGCACCAGAATTCAGC